GGAATTCTGGGAGGAATTCTGAGATAACATGACTGGAGGAGGAATTCAAGTCTTAAAGCTGTCAAGTTTGAAGACTCTTAAAGCAGACTTTACTTTATCTCAAAGCACTTTAGTACAAACATCTGTCATGCCTTGAGAGAGGCTTTTCTGGTGGGCCAGTCACGCTCTCTCATTCAGCCCAACCCGCCTCACAGGACTGTTGTTGTGGGGCGGGGAAGGAAGAGGAAGGAGTATTAGGTATATTTGCTGTCGTGAGTTATTTGTAAAAATATTAAAGGTAGGACATGAATATAAATAAATAAAAATGGCTAATGAATGAATATTAATTACTGATGATGTTTATTAACACATGTAAATAATATAAATAAACCTAAATCAAATAAATTAAATTAGCACTTAGAAAAAAAGTAAATAATACAGTGGAACCAGTCCATGTACATTGAGGACATCTAGAACGAGAAGTCTAGGTTCAGACGGTTGAAGTTAACTGGCCAAACTATCTGGATATAACAGGAATTTAAATATAACACAATTGCAACACATCAAATTGGAGAAAAATGGTGGGAATAGTGATGTTCTGGGAATGCTACTGCATAATAGCAGCTACTTTGGAGAGTAATTCGGAAGCAACTGCGATTTTAATGTGCCTTTCTGATCTTCAGGAAAGGACTTGTTGCTATTATGCTAAAGTGGGAGACAGAATTTTGTATAAAGCAGTCTTTTAAAAAGTTTGGGGGCCACTGATGATAAGTCTTCCCCTTCTGTATGATGCATCAGCACATCAGTCTTTAATGCCTTTCACAAAAGGGAAAAATGCAAATATAAAAAAATATTGAAAACCAAGTGTGGCAATAAAAGAATTAAAGATGATGGGGGGGATCTTTGCGGTGCCCCCTCTCCCTCGGTGCCCGAAACACATGCTTATTTTGCTGAATGGTTAATCCAGGCCTAAAAGAAAGCTGCAGATGTAAAATGGGAGTCCTTCCTGCTCTTTAGAGATTACATAGGGAAGGTGCCACTCTCTTCTACTCAGGAATCTGAGCTTTCTATGAAATAAGTGTAATAGTTTCTAAGGCTTCAAGCCTGCAAACGCAAGTGTTTCCTTTGCCCTGATTTAGACAAGATACATGCTAAAGGGAAAGCTCATACAGTATAGCTTTTTGATTTATAAAACTTTCATCTAGCCCATAATGTCCACTGGTGCTTCTAACACACATCTCCGGTCTCTAACAAAGATGTAGTAGGTTTTTTTTTGTGTTTTTTTTAATCTGCAAAGCATCTTCGTAACCATTGAGCATTAACCCATAACTCAGGGTACAGAAATCCAAATAACGGGCAATCGTATAAAAATATAATCAAAGTCAGTCAAATTTCATTATGACTTATTATAATGTGTGAGCACAGTCAGGCCTAATTTTTGTCATTTGTACCACACACAAAAGCAGTTGTTCCGTTGCCACATTTTTTTCTACTATTCTAATAATAACAAACACAGATAAACATAGAACCATTTGGGGTGAATTGATGTAACTTCAAGATCTTGATGTAACCTTACCTATTCCACTGCCACCTTTCATCGCCCTCATCAGCTCATTGGCTCTCTCCTGGCAGTGGAGTGATTCTAGCAAGTACAACACATAGTCATCAAACATCAGGTGAATAAGGTGAAAAGATCCTGGTGACAAAATAATGTGAGGAAAAAAGTGAATGCCATTTGCATGAATCTCATTGGTGTTTACAGTTCTGCTATTACTCACTTAATTGTGAGCCCTGGGGGAAAGAAAGAAACTATGGTACCCAAAGGGGGGGTACAGTGGGATGATCAGCTCTGGTTGCAGGCAATACGAGAGGTGCTATAAAGACGCAAAGAGGCTGTCCATGGGTGTGGAGTTGCACTGCTTTTGCCCGCCTGCCAATCGTTTGATAGACAAAAATGCTGTGCCTTTAAGTCAGTTTTGACTCCTGGCGGCTGTTCTTTGCGGTTCTCTGCAAGGTTGGCTTAGCCTTCCACCCTTCCAAGGCAGGTAAATTGAGGACCCAAATTGTTGGGGGACAATATGCTGACTCTGTAAACCACTTAGAGAAGACTGTAAAGCACTGTAAAGCGGTATATAAGTCTAAGCGCTATTGCTATTGCTATTTCTGAGCAGCCTTTTTTGAAAGTGGCTTGCTAGCTCAATATTTCTAGGGCTAAAAGAACTGACAACATCTATCTGGTTAGGGTAATACTTGAACTAAAAGTTGTTTGATTCCTTGCCTCATGCTTTAATCAATACAGCAAACTAGCAGTCAGCAATAGAAGGAAATGTTGTAAAAAAGAGCCATTGCAGTTGTCAAACACACTGGGTACACCACTGAATTAACTGCAAATCTAGTGCAATCAAGAAAGTTGCTTTATAATCAATATGATAAGGAAAGTCTGCTTTGTGTAATCTCAGTTTGGTGCTTTCCAGTACTGCTGGTTCAGCTCTATCACTGAGCAGTGTGTAACAGATCTCTTAACTGTTCTTCCCCAGCTTCTCATCAATTGCCTTCTAGTGGATGAAACACATTTATTTATTACATTTGCACACTGCTGAATCTGACAACTGAGTGCTCAGTTTAGAATAATGGTGCCTTTAAAATGCAAAATACAAAACAGACAAATTAATAGCAACCTAACATGAAGAAAATGAATGCATGTGTCCTCAAACTGGTAAATTGGCAGAATCGTCTGGCAAGCTGGCCAGCTTCTAAATTTTATTTATTTTTTGTTAGATGACTATCCTACAATCCATCCAAGAGTTCAGGGTGATGTAGGCAGCAGTTCTGTTTTTCCCTACAAGAATGACTTTGGAGGGAGGGACTGGCCCAAAGTTACTCAGGGAGTTTTTACAGCTGATGCATCTTCATGGTGTTCATACAACACTTAGCTCTGACATCACACAGGCTCTCTCAGCAATATGGCATACTATCTCTACATGCAGTATGGAGGATGGATGACATTTGGTTTTTAACTCAGATATACTGGATTCGGCTTTTCTAATCAGCAGTTGAAATTTATCAGATATGCAAGGCACCAGATTATAGAAGATTGTGTCAGAGGAAATAGAACACCTTTTCCTAGGGGACCAGAAAATTGCCATGTCCAGAATGACCTTTATAAAAATTATCAATTTCAGGCAGAGTTAATGGCTGTATTTTTTTAAATCTGATTTGATAATTTGATAATCTAGACCTTCTGTTATATATCAGCTCCCAAAGATTTAAAACAAATGCAAAAAATAGCCAATCTAACTTAAACTCGGGGAAAACCTGGAACTGCTTGAGGACAATATTGTAGTATGATTGCCTTTCAGGGAAGCCTACCTGGATTTTTCTTTTGTTTCTCTCTAACTTCCCCTTACACATTAATAGTTAACTATCTTATCAAATAACTAGAATAGAATAGAATAGAATTCTTTATTGGCCAAGTGTGGTTGGACACACAAGGAATTTGTCTTGGTATGTATGTATGTATGTAGGGAGAAATTCAATGTTAAGGTGCAAAAATAGCCATATCAACTTATGTTAAAATAATATGAAAGGACATTAAATTATTGTTTACACTGTGATATTTTATACATGCTTATTATTTAATAATATTCAATTTGTTTATGTTACATTAATTGGGACTACTTGAGATTCTCCGTTGCCTACATTAGGGTTATTGATTTTTTAAAATGTGAAAAGGTATATTCTGATACTGTTTTCCTCCTCCCTCTATGCCGACATTAAAAAATGGATGGCTTCACATCTTGTCCTATGGAATTAAAAGATCCTTGACAAATATCTGTCTAGCCTCTAACTGAAAATGTCCAGTGAAGAGGAGGTTCTCTGGATAAGAAATTCTACCATCAAACTCCTCTCATTGTTAATTTCAACTATTATCTTTTGATAGTATGCCAACAATGGTGATGATAGCTTTTGAGTTTTTGAGAAGAGAAATGTTCTGCTTTTTTTTTTCTACAACCCTAACCCTGTATCCAAATTATCACTTTCTATTGTGATAGAAAGTGATGAGTTGGATTAAGAATTAGGGTTCTGTGGGTGTGTGGGGGAAACGGGAACATTTTCCTTCTCAAAAAATATCACCATTATTACAGCCTTCAACTCTACTGGAGCTCATTTGTTCCTTGAAAACAGCCACACCCCAACCTTGTACATATGGAAAGATATGAATCTTCTTCACTTTTTTACTATGGTGCAAAATAGGGATTTTTTCTTGAAATCTCAGAAGAAGAAGAAGAAAGTACCAAAGCTAGGGGCACTATGCAAAGTCATATCCCGAATTACTCTTGTGCCAAAACAGGACCACATCAAGAGGAACTGCGGGGCCACTTTCTTCAGGTAACCTGGTCTTTTTGCAGCTACCTGTCAATAAAAAGAAACAAGTGATCCTAAAGGTGCTTACAAGGTATCATCCGAAATGTATGTCAATATTTTGCATATGCTACATTCTTGTTGGAGAGATGCAGGCTGCAGTATGTTGGCTTGCAAGGTAGTCTCTAGATGAGATATCTTTGTTAACCAAGAACAGCATGAGCCTATTTAGCTAAAATTGCAATTGTTGGCCAAAATGTGTCAAATCTAATTGGTACTGGCCTTAATATTAGTAGAGAATGTTCCATTTGGCACAATAGTATAAGGCTGATAATCTAGTCTATATTTTCTTTGTCATATGAAAGTCTTTGATAAAACATGATAAGCAGCAGAGGTCACTATATACAGGCCAATCTGAAGATGATGATGACAGTATATGGAAGAGTGTGAGAAAACAAAATGAATTAAGACTTGAAAAGAGAGAAGGAAATACCGTTATGTTTTGTGAAATTAAGAAAAAGGGGAAAAGTGTCATAGAGGTGATTGAAAGTGACTTAATCTTGTGGAATACAAAGTATTTCTGAAAATTTCAGTGCCAAATGGTCTCAAATAGCATCTTCAGAAAGGGAATACTTCCCATTTAACATTATTTATAGCTTTGCAAAAGCAATGAAAAGAGTCAAATTAACTTTTTATTGTCATGTTTCAATTTTATTTCTATTTTGGGATTGCCTTGATACATTTTTACAGTGAAAGCAGTACTCCAGCAATCCCAAGTAGTGTCAGATAATTCAAACAAAACCCGTGAACCCAGATAAGCTCCAGGTAAGTAAGTATATCTAGTCAAGGTAGACCACATTAGAGCTTCCAAATCATTGCTGACTCAATATGCTCTTTCTCTGTTCCCATTACAGTCTCAAGCAATTCATCACTTACAACTTAAATCTGTGTTGCAAAAAGTTTACTGTAATTACTGTGACCCACAGCAAGTAGATCTGGTAGAACAAGACTTGAAATCCAAACCACCAAGCACTGAAAGCAAACAAACCATTTGCATGCATATATATATATATATATATATAATATTGCTCAATGTTATGATTTGCTAAAGAAGTTGCTGAAATTGGTTGAATAAATAATAGATGTGCCATTCTTTCCAACCCATAACATTTAAAAAAATATTATTTTCTGATAAAGTTCTTATTATAAAAAAAATTAATATGTTAGAGCAGGGGGTAAGGTAAGGAAATATGACTTCACTTGTTTCATTATTCCAGAACAGTTACAGTTCTCATATCAAAGATATATGGATATGAAAACCGTCTAAGTCATGTAGGACTTCAGAAAGAAACATAACATATGCCAATATTGATATTTCAAATAAACAAGAGTTTACTACAAACTCCTGTTCCTACTACCATCTGACTGAGCTACTGTTCCTTTCCAGTTCTGGCCAGAGACAGCTGTAGTTTATTTGTAGAAACCATAATTTTCATGTAAAATGTCTCCATCATCTTCTGACTGAGAAAGTTCTCTGTTTGAAAGTCCAAGCAGCTGCTGCTTGTCAAAATGGACAACAATGAGGTGATTGGACCAGTGATCTGGCTCAATATGTTAAGCTTCCTATACACTTGCACCACCCACTTTGGCCAATGGGGTATTGACATCACCAATTCATTGTGTTCTGAGCTGAAGGGGGGGGGAATCCTCAAGTTTGGAAATTGCTTCAAGAAGTTGCCTTCAGTTCCAGTTCTTACATAAAAATTAACTAGTACTGGATTTAGAGCTCCACATGTGGAGGTTTTATGAGATCTTATACACCATGTGATTAGCTTCTTTCATCCTTTGCTTGTTCTACTGACCTTCACAACACATCTATCCACCATGGAATCCAGCCATTCGATGTATGATTCAATGGGTGACTGCTCTTCCAAAAGGTGATCAAATTCCTGATATACTGGCAAAATAAAACCCCAGGAATCTATATCATTAATTGTGTTGTCTATTAGATGACAAATGAAAGCAAATGAAAAGTTATACAAATTGCTTAGCTAAATTAAACAACAGAAAATTAATGTTATATTTAAGAAGAGAAAAGCTAAATCGTTTCTCATGACTATTCCTATTTATTTATTTAAAATATTTATACAGTTGCCCAGCCTATAACCACCTCTGGTTATATAAAGTCCTTCTTAGTCACATTCCCTATAATCAATAGTTTTGCATGATTTTTTGCTACATTTCCCAGTATTGTTTATCTGTCAGGAAAAATCAGACTCTATTCTGAGAGTTATTCTTGCACAGTTAAATCAAGACTCTGATCCTTTAGACAGAAAAGATCATGCATGAAATTCATTTAGAAATGCATCAAGAGGCTATTTAAATAAGGAAAATAAGCACTAAGTATGATTTATTGTATTTTTACTTTTATAAATGTTTTATTTTTTCCCCACTATCCAAATTATTTTATCATACACATAAATGATATCTTTTCAAAACATGGCATTATTAAATTGCAACCCCAAACATTCTTTCCATAAACAAATGTAGATATTTTGAACTATGCAATAATGAAATTCTAGTGAAGGCTGGACAAAAGCTGAATGACTTGTAGATAAACATGACTGGTGTGTTTTGTAACTACTACACAGCCTTACAAACACATTAAAAATCCTGGGAACATAAGAATCTGGTTGGATCAGGTCAAAAGTTTATATAGACTGTAATTCTATGTAGACTGTAATGGCCAATGAGATACATGCTGAAAGCTCATAATTAGAACATCATGGTGAGATCTCCCTTCCACAGTTGCTTCCTGGTAATTGTACTTGCTCCTGAAATATTATAGACATTGGTCATTCATTGACCAGATTATTTGCAGGACTACCTCTCCCTAAGGACACCTAACCTGTTTTACCATATTGGATAAGTGGATACATTTCTAGTCTCCTCCCTTAAATGTTGCTATCTTTTAGGACCTAGGAATGGTGCCTTCTCCATAGCACTCTCTGCAGTTTGGAAGACCCTTCCTTCTGAGGCTTGGCAGGCTCCCACCTTTTTAACCTTCCAAAAACCACTTATGATTTAACTTCTCCCCTATGCACTAGGATTGAGTGAGATTATGAGATATAGTTGAAAGAGCCATGGTGGCAGAGTGGTTAGAATGCAGTATTGGAGGCTGCACTGCCAGGAGTTCAATTCTGACAGGCTCAGGTTGACTTAGACTTCCATCCTTCCAGTGTTCTTATTTAATGAGCTATGGTGGTGCAGTGGTTAAAATGCATTACTGCAGGCTATTTCTGCTGATTGCCAGCAATTTGGCTCAAGCTTGAGGCAGCCGTCCATCATTCCAAGGTTGGTAAATTGAGGACCCAGATTGTTAGGTGAAATATGCTGACTCTGTAAACCACTTAAAGAGGGCTATAAAGCACTGGGAAGTCATATATAAGTCTAAATGCTATTGCTATTTATATAAAAAAAATTCTAAGATTTCTGAAAATTCTTTACTGTATTGCATATCAGTGAAATATTCACTTGCTGCAACCACAGTCCTATACTAAATCCTTACTAGTTAAATTTTTATTAGATGTTTCTTCACTGTGAAAACTGAGCTGAAATGGTATCTAACAAGTTTCCTTCCTTGAAACAGAAGCATCCTGAGCCATTCAGGAAAATATCCAGCCTTGCTATCAAGTGCAGGCTTCTTCATAGAGATTATTATCCATATAAGGAACCACAAGTCCAAGTCTCTGACTACTTGGAAAGTATCTAATCTGCACAGCTTTTCATTGGGCATGCATTCAAATATACTGTTCCATGAAAGAATGTTTGAAAGATGAAATCATTTCTTAAAGTGTAGCTAGAGTGTAGTCACAAAAAAAATGTTCGCTTAAAAGGAATTGTAAAGTGGTAATTGAAGGAAACAAGTTTTGGGATATAAGTAAGAAAGGGAAAGGGATGCGGTGGCTCAGTGGTTAAAATGCTGAGCTTGTTGATCAGAAGGGTTGGCAGTTTGGCGGTTCAAGTCCCTAGTGCCATGTAACGGAGTGAGCTCCCATTACTTGTCCCAACTTTTGCCAACCTAGCAGTTCGAAAGCATGTAAAAATGCAAGTAGAAAAATAGGGACCACTTTGGTGGGAAGGTAATAGCGTTTTGTGTGCCTTTGCCATTTAGTCATGCCGGCCACATGACCACAGAGATGTCTTTGGACAACACTGGCTCTTCGGCTTAAAAACGGAAATGAGCACCGCCCCCTAGAGCTGGAAACGACTAGCACATATGTGTGAGGGGAACCTTAAATAAGAAATGCTAAAGTGCATGTGAGCCATTCTCCTGTGGTATTAAGGAAATATGAATCTAGGTACCAGTAAGTTTTACAACTGCATCTAAAGAGGCAGAAATGCCCCTGGGATTAACAATTAAATATTGTAGAATTTGCTTTTAGTAAATATACCCAAATTGCATAGTAAAACCCTTGTATGGAAGTGTCCTTCCCTACTCGACTTCGCATTGTGCTAGATAAGTTGCTGGAGAGCAAAGAGAAATTTAACAGAAAGCAGAGAAAATGTTATGCAACCAATATTTCTCCCAGGTCATGTGTGCTATCATCAGTGGTGCAGTGGCCTAGAGGTGGAGATCTCGCCTCACAATCAGGAGTCTGTGAGTTTGATCCTAGGTAGAGGCAGATATTTCTCTCTCTGGAATCTATGAGAATGTATCTGCTGAACAAAACTCAGCGTTGGCGACAGGAAGGGCATCTGGCCGGTAAACACTCAGCAAACACTCAGCTCCATTCAGTTGCCCAGACTCCACCCACAAGGGATTGTGGGGTCATTAAAAGGAGATGATTATGATCTGTGCTATCATCACATTCAGAGGAGGGGGTGCAGGGGTGGGATTCTACCAGTTCGCACCTATTTGCTAGAACCGGTTGTTAACATTCTAAGCAGTTTGGAGAACCGGTTGTTAGAAGAAATTACTGGCCTAATCCTGTAAGGAAGGCAGGAAGGAAACATTCTGGTATTGCTTACAGAAACTGCCTCTCCGTTAACCCTTATTACATTCTTGGCAGGACTAGACTTCTTGTCTCTGGAACTTCTCTGGAGTTTTTTTCCTCCTTTGCTGGTACTTTGCTTGTGTGGAGTGACCATTCAAAGTTACAATGGCATTGAAAAAAGTGACTTATGACCCTTTTTCACACATTTCGCAGCATCCCCACAGTCATGAGAGGCCAGGCGAGGAGATGCGTCCCTCGATGTGAGTGATATTGAGTTGGCCACGCCCAGCCAATAACATGACCACCAGGCCACACACCCCAACTTAGCCACGCCCACAGAACCAGTTGTTAAAATAATTGAATCCCACCCCTGAAGGGGTGGGATCAGATTCTTTTATCATCTGAGCTGATTTTGGAAAGAATAATACTGGTACATTCTATTTTGTTAACATTTGAAGCTAATTTCTTAGTTGAAGCTCCTATAGTCTTACATTGCATTATAAGTTTCCTGTGCTCCTCTTGCGAATCTTCCATGGTGTACAGTGTTTGTTTAGTGATACTATTAAGATCCACATTCCTCCAGTCTTCCAGCATTTGGAATGTAATATCTGCACTGTGGATCACAGTTCTTGATGCCTATAATCCAATTCAAACAACTCATTAGCTTAGAGTTTATTACCTTAGATAATATCCCATTATCCCTTTATACGCTTTTATGGCAAGGTTCTGCTAAGGTGATTTTCTCCTTGGATTCTGGAGAAGTCATGGAGTGCAATAGATAATTTGAATATACCTTTTCCCAATACAAATTAGAGATCTCAGGTGGATGTTCTAAATTTAAGATAATGCTATACTTCTACTTTTTTTAATTTGGGGGGAAAGGCATTTTCTTCACTTGGAGAATAACCAGTTTCTTCACTGTGTCCCTTAAATTCAGATTATTTGTATCTTTACCTTGACTTTTGACATGATCACAATGATTTAAATAGTACATTCATTCACAACTTCAAAATAATTGAAACAATATCTGAAATCCTCACACATCTATACTAAGTACAGTACTTGAAAATATATTCAATATTGGAACTAGGCTCTATCTCAGAGCAGGTCAAATACTAATAAAACTGAATGAACGTCTTTCAAAATTTTGACCAGTAACTGGTTGCATGTACCTAGAAAGGAAGGCGGGAGTGGAACATTAGAGAGTGTTTATAGCTTAAGTCTGAGATAGGACCTTCATGCATGACAATGGACTGACTACTCAATAGAGCTGCCTACATATTCATTTAATCCATGCAAATACTATTCGTTACTTTAAGATTGTAAGGAAGGCAGATCTATGACAATTCGCCATGACCAACTCGCCATGGTCGACTTGCCCCAGCCAACTTGCTGCGGCCAATTCGCCGCAGAACAAGACTTCCTTTACAATTTGCTGTAACTCTCCAGTTAGATAACAGCAAGGAAAGAGGTCTATAAAATGGGAAAACAAAAGAAGCAACATCTAATCAAAATTCTATTTTGTTCAGCATTCTGGGTCACACAGAGGCTAATCAGATAATTCTTAGGATTCAGTGAATGGATACAAGGGTATAAGCCCTCTTTTATGTTTGCTTCCTGCAACTATTATTTGAGGCCCACTCTCTGGGATTGTAGAAATTGCATACAGAGATTAGTCATCATTGATAGGCTTGTCTTCCCAGAATATGGAAAATAATTTAAGTCAACAACCAGCAGGCAGCTATGGCTTTTCTGCTTCATTTAACTCTGAATGCATTTTCAAATCAGTGTACAAATCCCATGTAAATGTTTTGATTTATCAAATGCATGCAAAGAATTTATCTGAGAAACAAAATATGTGACTTGCTGAGGAACAAACTAAATTTATGACCAAAAAAAAAAGATAAAATACCTGACATAGATGGTTTAATGATGTCTGCCTCCGAAGAATCTGAGAAAATCTTCTGGATACTGACAATGAGGGAAATATAGTTAGCTAGAATGATTACTTTGGCCCCAAGCAATACATACTATATCTTCATTCAATTCTGCTAACAGCGTATCTTTAACTGATTTTGTTTTGTAATAACTTTTTCTTTCAACAATATTTATACTATTATATATGTTTGTTATGTGAATATGCATATTTCAGGCATTGTTTTTTTTTTTTTAAAGTCATGGATAGAAATCATTATCCAATAAAATCAATGACCTTAAATCCCATTGAAAGTTATCTATTGATGACTAAATTGAAGTAAAATGATCCTTAGTTCTATGCTCCTGCAGAAAGTTCCATGTGTGCTGAAGATCTCCAATAGGGCTACTCCCTAGAAGTGTCAAAGGTAGCTTTAGATTCATGATATCCAAAGCCGCCCCCCCCCCCCATTTCTGAAACAATTCTAGCCTAGATCTACAGACTCCATCTGGATGAAACTAGATTAGTAATTCTGCTTTCTATTCCAACAAAAATTGAAGAAATAGATCAGGGCTGTCAAACTCATGGCCTGCGGGCCAGATGCATCATATGCTGGCCATGCCCACGCCCAGTTTAGTGAAGGGAAAAAAAGTCCTGATATGTCATATGATTCCATTGTGACGACATGAGTTTGATACCCCTGAAGTAGATAATCCACCATAAAAATTCTTCTTGTTATGACTGTGCTATTGACACCAAGTAAACTAAGATTCTCTGATTTATGATTAGCAATTGCAGTACACAAATAAGGATTAAATGTATGTTATGTAAGCATGTTAGCAAGGCTATGCACAGAATAAAATCCATGTTATCTATCTATCTATCACTTTATCTATTGATCAATAATATGACACTTCATATCCATATTTTTTTGGGTAAATCCTAATATTGTAGATATAGTACTAGTCTTCTTATCACAGGTAAATAAATAATATGCTGAAATCCATTGCACTGCTTGTATGTACAGTGCTAGAATCCAGATTTCTGAGATGTTCAAATAACTCCAGTACTATAAAGACTTCACTAAAGTGAAGAGAATCCACACTGATCTCTCCAGCTGCAACTCTATAAGATCAATTCCAAAACATATACTAAAACGTATTCATTTTGAGAAAAGGAATACACTTTGGGTTATTTGAATAAATTATTAAATTACAAAATCATGTTGTTGAATGGGTCATTTTCTGAAGCTCCACAACAAAGGTGCTTTTAATCATTCATGCTGATCAATGGTTAATCCGTCTCTTAAATGAATTTTTCTCCCTCCCCTTTTCAACTTCATCACATTCTCTATCTTCAAAAAAAACGTGTGACGTGGAAGTTAGCACATATAAAAGGAGCAGGATTGATGAAATAAAGCAGGCTTTCTCAAGATATAATGTGCAAGGCAGGCATCTACAAAGAAAGAGTGTAATGCCCTTCCTATGGAGATGGGATAATTTGATCGTCTCCATTTTTTAAACTTTGACACCTGAGGCAAAGGCTTCAGACTGTAGTTTGAAGAGGTACTTGATTGCTTGCGTTTGCAGGCCATCCCATGAGATAATTTTTAATTTGGTCCACAAAGACAGGAGACTTATTAATTAATTGTAACTAATCTGACTTCATCACTATGACCAGTCAGAGATATACACTCATATTACTGAAAGAATTTACAAAATTAATTCGAGATGATTAGAGACAAATTAGAGATGCAATGTTTATTGTTCCTTCAAACCATGTCAGAAGACACAGAGCAGGTGTCAACCATCTTTTCCATGTATGTAATTTTGCATACTGAGACTTTTAAAAAGTTATCAAAATATCTCCTTAAAAGTCCTAAACATTTTCAGCAATATCATGCCCTAAGATCATGTGAGATTTGGGGCATTTTTACATTTGGGGGGAACACCAATGCTGTTTTGGGTTAATATATATTCTTTTGACATCAAAAGACACTGTGTTGCCTACTCCTTACATAAAATTAAAGTTTATTCTAAGTATTTGTTTTCAATATCTGAATAGCTTTTTAATATAAAATCTAACAGTTATTCAAAGCTTTCTTCATGTTAGCATCCTGATTTTGGAAAAGTAGATTTAATTTTGTAGATGACAAAAATTGGATTGGGCCACCCTTAAATCTACTGGTAGGCCCTGCACTTCTTCCACATGTTCTTGAGGTAGGTGAATAAGAATTTAATCACAACATAGAACATATGTGTTTTATAAATGCCTTTTCAGTATTTTTTTAAATTACTTATAGAACTAGAGTGGACTAATTTGATTAAGAATATTGCCATACCACATATATAGTGATGGGAATTGAATTCTTTATCTGACCTGTTTCCTTCATTTTTTTTAAAAAAAAAATCTTTGCATTTAAAAAAAAATTCTACTGGTGCCAGCAGTCATACCACCTTTTGATTAATATCTTAAAATTTAATGTTATGGCATCACAAACAATTTTTCTGCTTGTATTAAGAAAGTAGATAAGACGTACATTCAAACTTGATATTTCGTAGATTTTCAGGCAAGTCATGAAGAGCTATCTTTAGCCATTCATCCAGTTGCTTGGCAAATTTGCGGATCACCTGTGTTAAGCTGAAAGGAAAAGTACCACTTCAGGAACATATGCTGAGAGTCTTTCTTTGCAGAAGAAAACAGGAAAATACTAGATGTGCAACTCCCCAATTCTTAACCCTATAGTTCAAAATTGGTTAATTTTCCTATCCTGATATATCTAGCATTAGTTCCTCAACTTTGTGAGACCTAATTTCCAGTTACATTCATAGGATTGCACTGAGAATATACATTATGTTACAGCTACCTAATAAAAAGGAAATGTATACCAAAGTAAATTTAGGGGTGGGCTTCAAAAATTTTAGCAACCGGTTTTCTGCCCGGTTGCTGGGTGGGCATGGCCATGGTGGGTGTGGCCTAGTCAGCCTCCTGCACCAAGGCAGGGGGCCCATTTTCGCCCTCCCTGGTTTCAGAGGCTTTCCTTGAGCTTCCGGGAGGGTGAAAATGGCCTCTCCTGGCTCCGGAGGCCCTCTGAAGACCGGAAACAGGCCTGAGTGTCTGGGAGGCCCATTTTTAACCCTCTCCAAGCTTCCACACAGGCCCTGCACTTATCTGGGATCCTGGCGGGGCCAGGCAGGGGTGGGATTTGCCAGTTCACCGAACTGGCCATAAAATTAGCTACTGGGTAGCTACGGGTTCACCTGAACTGGGCAAATCGGTAACAGCCCACCCCTGCAAAGTATACAGAAAAAGTAATCTATAGAGTTCTGAAATGAATAAATACAAATTCTTGGATCTGCTATTCCCCCCGATCTTAAAAAATAGTTATATTCCATTCTTCAACATTAATTAAATTAACATTAATTTTCAGTGGTGTCTAATGTTTAAAACTTAGAATAATAAATTTTATTGCTACTACTACTACTGCTATTACTTCTACTACAGTTATCTACTTACAGATTGAATTAAATGATTCCATTGCTATCTAGGAAATTTCATGGTTAAGAATTGAGGACAAAAATATACTGTATCTTGTCAGCCTCCCAAATGGTGCTAAAACAGGCACACAAGACATACTGTACTGTTGAGGGAATTTCAGAATAGTGGGGAGGGCACCATTTATAAACACTGTTCTCAGGCCCCAAGACCATCCAGAGGTCTAAGGGTTCAAGAAAGTATGTAGAAGAAGATATCGCCCTTAAGATACTCCAGTTGGGAAATATGAAGTAGAAATTGAACTCATCAATAGACTTAATTTAGGGAAGGCTGGAGTGGAAAACAATGTAGGAGTGAAGATCTGTAACACTCACATAAAAACATTATTTAAGATGGAATTTTAAGGAAGAAAACCTGATAAATTCAAAAAATGTCATTTACTGAACTTATATTAGACTGCAGAATGATAACATTCTTAGAATGCAGGGAAGGGAACAAAACTGAAGCAATACAGAATATTTTAAATACATTGCCTGCAATGTATTGTCCTTCATTCCTAAATGGAGAAAATCCACCATTCCTTCCTTGATGTTTGAACTCAATCAGCAATATTCTGTCAAACCCATTTGGTTATATTATTCATAAATATTCACTTGGTCTTATGTGAGAAAGATTCTTCATTTAAAGGGCATATGCTTCAATTGAGCTTACACCAATACCCTCACAAAAATGTCAGTCTATGAAATATACTCACCTATCAGGTAATGCTTGCAAGACTGTTGGCATCAAAACTCCAGAAATAGCTTTATACAATATTGAGTCACAAACTCCAACTATATTTACTACAGTGGAAGAACCCAGGACAGGAAGCATGTGAGGTGGCATCCCTTGCCAAAAGTGCAGAAGAAAACTTTGAACCTAAAAAATGCACCCAGACAGAAGAAATAAATGGAACTTGTAATTGTTTTATTATTATTTGTCTATGTTCTAGACAGAGCAAGTTAGCAGGAACTTTGGAAATCAATATTCTGTATTTGTTTAATTGATTTGGGGATCATTTTAAGACATATTCACCAAACTAATATTGCAGAACCAATTATAAAATTTCTTTTGAATATTATTGCATATAAAACCGGACCATATTTTCAGCCTTATGAATCATAAGTATATGTGTTCAACTTTATATATAATTATAGATATGTGTACTTAATAGATATGAAATACTATATATATATATGCACTTAATAAATTTCCATCCTCCCTTTGATTCAGGAGCTCAAGGTAATGTACAAAGCATGTCTTCCTATGTTCCCCAACTCTGCGAGGGAGCAAGAACTGCGAAAGAACTACTGGCCTAAAGTAATTCAGAAAGCTTCCATGACTGAGGGTATACTAGAGTCCAGATAACAACACTACAGAGAAGAGGTTATTAATTCTATTTTACATATATATTATCTATTTTTATTTATTTATTTTATTTAGAAATTTTATATTGCCCGCCTACCTGCATATGGTGAATCAAGCGGCTTACAAGGTCATAAAAACACAATATAAAAGAAATAAAAAGAAAAATAATAAAATAATAACCACCCCCATCCCACCCATGCCGGCAGCAACACACATTCATATTAGCGATTTAATGGGCTCCATCCCACTCTGGGTTCCCCAGGCCTGCTAGCAGAACATCTTCAGGGCCTTCCAAAAGAATGTTAGAGTGGGGGCCAGTCTAATTTCCAGAGGGATGATGTTCCAGAGAGAGGGAGCCACCATGGAGAAGGCCCTTCTTCTGGGTCTCACCAGGTGTATCTCCTTAGGGGATGGGATCTGCAACATTCCTTGTCTCCCTGTTCTTATCTATGCAATTTTGAGTAGTATAGAGGTTTTTTTTACAGTCTTCTAAGTCATTTCTACTTCTGATCTCAATTGTTCATCTCCTCCATCCTTTTATATAAGCCTCTTTTTTGTATTTCTGTTCTTCCTAATTTATTTTTCAGTACATTGCCTGATTGCACCATTTTTTCAGCTTCCTTGCCTTGAAGCCTCCTGTTCCTTAGCTTCCTTTATTCTCAGAATCTTTTTATCCAAAAGAACTAACACATTCTATTACCTCCAACAGTTCCAATTCTCAGTGGAAAACACTTTGAACCTGCAGAGCAATGTAGCCAGTCAATATAAACATTTTCATTACCATTGATAAGTATAACTGAATGAAAACTACCTTATGAAAAACTTTTTACTTCATTACAAACCTCATCAAAGTTGGCTCTTATTACAGTATCAAGTATCCTTTGACAGTGTGTTCTGTACATCATTATAAAAGTAGATACCTAGAAGAATAACAAAAGAGCTATTCTTATTCAGGATTCATATTTAAAACAGTAATATTTCTAGTATAATCTGTCATGACCTCCAATTCCTAACAAATTCCTAGCAGTAGAGACAGAGATGAAGAAGGTTAAAACCTCAAGGAAGCAAGAACACTAGTACCAAGCTCAGGTCTCACAAGCTGTAACTAAAAACCTTAATCCATATAAGAGCCTAACCTAATACCCACCTATCATGGTTTCCAGGTCAAGCTGCTAAAAGGTGTCATCTTTGCCTCAAAGCATTATATTTCAGAAAACCCCGCTTATCACCAAATGTACAGTATTCCAGCAGAAGCGTTCTGGACTAGAAATTCTTCAAAATTCGGAATTCCCCTGAATCCCCCTCAAGTCCTATCCTTGAGAAATAGTCAAATTGTCCATCCAATTTCTCTGTTTAAATTTGTTTCTCGGTTAAAACCATTTAAAGGAGGATGAAAGTACTTGGGGGTGATCTTGAGCCATTGCCCAAATTAAATTATTCTACTGCTACCACCACATATTAACTGCATGTGATTCCTTCCTCAGAGTAGCTAGTTGCAGCTTTGGATTGTAATTAAGTTAGGGATATGATGCCAGGAAAAAGAATTGGTCCTCTGCTTTTTTGCACTAATCTACTTTTGTAAATTGATGTTGTTGTTTTTACTAAAGAAATATTGGAAAACTCAATCATGGATCTTTGACGTATTGTCTACTTTAAACCAATACAGGAGGTACAGCCTCTTTCATCTATAGATCATTGGATAAATGGATAAATCAGGGAGAAATTATTTGTTTCAAGTACAGTGCGCAATCAAGTCCTTCATAAATCAAGTCACAGTCTTCTAAAACTCAATCTTTTGAAGAGGCACTTTTTCATACTTAAGTTAGCCTTTCCTCAACCGAGAAAAAGCAGAGACCAAAGCAAGCCAATGAATATTTTACTAGCGTCACCTTCTCTTCTGGCAAGCTGGCTGGCAGATTTAGATCTTTGACATTTGGAAATTCTGGCAGCAACGTCCCAAGTTTGGATCGTGGTGAATATGCCACTGTCTGTTTGATTACTTCTTTTTTTCCTGTTTCATTGACCCAGGCTGCTCCTTTCTTAGAATACATCACGTCATAATACTGGGAGCTTTCTTTCACTGCAATGCCATAGTAATGGTACCTGAAATGTTGAATACACACTTTTTTTAAAGAGAGAGAACTTGTTCACTCAAGTATGGTTAAAAAGGAAAATTGCTAACAAAACAGACTTCATGCCAATTTGCAAGTTAATGCATGAGTGCAAATTCACCCTCAGAACATAAACGTGAGGATTCAAGGGCTTAACAGGCTGCATTTTCCATCCACAGGAGCACCCAGCAAAGATACAAATTGGCAGAGCCTGGTGTTTTTGCCTCAGCCCTAAGCCAGATATTTGGTAGAAGCAAACTAGGGATAATCCTACACCTTCTTTTCTTCTATGGATAATAAATAGTATATAATGTGTTATAGGGCAATTAATTTTTTTTTCTTCAGCTCTCTATACATGACCCTTTTAAGAACAGTCATAGAGTTACAATTTTTACTGCAGGCTCTAACTGTAGACTGGCAGTTTCCTTTAGAAGTCTGCAACTTCCTTTAGAGGTTTGCAGGCAGAGCTTTTAGCTGTTTGCATTACTAAGTATTATGGTGTTGGGAGGGTTGTTACAACCTATAGGTAATTTGTGGCCTCTCAGACATATTTTTGCTATGCCACTAGATTCATGCTGCCAGTACTGGTTGATACGCTAACAGACTTTAATAATAGATTTTGTAAAAAATAAAGTAATCCATAAAATAAGGGTATTAAGCCTCAAGTATTTTTTTCAGTATGTTTTGCATAACCTTCCCAAATCTGTCAAAGGGCTGAAAATTTAGTTTCAATCCCTCTGTGATGTCATCTTGTTTCTGTCACGCTCCTGTTGCCTTCTTCTTTTTTCTTTTAAAGAGTGGCCTCCGATATAAACACATATGTGCCCGGGGACTTGTGATTCAATAGCTTATGAGAAGCATTGGGAAAAGATAACAGAAGCTGTGGTATTGGTCCCACTGGCTAGCCTGGTCTATGACATCAGCATCCACAAGAGATGTTGCTATCTATTTAGCCAGCAGTGCTGAAATAGTAATTATGCAGTGCGCCCATAAATGGCACTGAGTTCTTAACATTCATTCTTCCTACATCCCTTCTCTCAAGCACTGCTGAACTCCACATAAAAGATATTACTTCCCTTAGGAAGCTGTGATTGGATGCTATTCTATCGCACAGAACATCTATAATGGCAAGTGTATATTTCCATACTCTATAAAACCGCACTGATGCACTAAAATGGTCTGGTGATAAAAGGTTAGGAACATGGAGCCTTTATATGTCATGGCGCAAGAATACATTACAGAAAAGATAAATTGACATGATGGCAATATACTATTACACCAAGCCCAAACACCATCATTGGAGAATAAAAAATACTGCATCACACCAATGAAACAGGCAGGTGTAGCGAAGGGCAAACAACCAACACATATCTCACCTGGCTAAGGGAGGAAGCAAATTTAAGGGAGGGACCAAATCTTGCATTTGGTCTTATGTTTTTTTTTTTAAACTGGGAATCACACATTATCCAGTCTGTTATTCTTCCAGTCTGAAATATGAGCATCATCTCCCCTGCAGGCTATAACTATCAGAATTCCATGAGAAATGAAGAGCAGATAAGAGAAGACAGGGTATGGGGCCAAGAAGAGAATATAATTCCAGCTTGTAGTACAGGGGTTCCCAAACTTGGCAACTTTAAGACTTGTGGACAGCTATG